TACCTAAATTTAAAAAAGATTTCTGTCAATTATGATAAAACTGTTTTTGTTGCATTTTCTATTTATAATTGTACTCAATTTTCAAATCAGGAACTAATAATTTATAATGATAGTCATAAAACTCGCGGTTCAAATGATTTTAAAATTAAGAGGGTAACAAAGGTCAGATACTTAGGACTAATGCTAGACTGCAATTTTAGATGGAATATCCATGTACAAAATATTAATATGCGCTTACGAACTGTTATATATAAGTTAAATTGTTTGAATAAAACTCTCTCCTCAGATACCATGAAAATTGTTTACTTGTCACTCTATCAATCTATCTTACAATATGGTATAGGTAACTATATGGGGTGGTGCCTCTGAAAAAACACTAAAACCAATAATATCTTTACAGAATAGAGCTGTTCGTATCTCTCTAAATAAAACAGATCGAGTTGGTTCTTCTAATGAAAATTACAAAGAACTGGGTGTACTTCCTCTAAATCTGTTATATAAAAAATATTCTATATCTTTTACTTTAAAAAATCATTCTAAATTCGATCCGTATATAAATAAACGTGAAACTTTAAAATACAATCTAAATGTCAATTATTCTAATAAATGTATTGGTCAGAAATTTGTAGACTATTTAGGGCCAACTTATTTCAATTACCTAGAAATTAATGTCAAAAGGTATCTTAGATTAAGTAATAATATTAATATAAATAAATATTTAACTAATGTTTTTATAAACGATTTGTAAATTCAAGTATCTTGTTAGTTGTTTATAACTTCTTCTTTATTGTTTTTTTTTTGTTTTTTATTGTTTATTTTTGTCATATTGTAAATACTATATTGTTTATGCCATATTTTAATCTCTAAGGAAATAACTCTGTAATAACTCGCTACCTTCAACTCAAGCTACGCTTAAAGAAGGTAGCTAAACCAAAATGTTTTTTAAAATGTTTATTTAGTATACTAATTGTACTAGTGTTTTTAATTTATTTAATAAATGGTTTATCAAATCAAAAAAAAAAAAAAAAAAAATATTTGTTGAATAATTATACTTAAAAAAATTACTTCGACTTAGTATTTATTACTAATACTGTATTAATTATATATTATATTAGGAACTTTTATATTATGCATGCATAATATTATATATATTTATAACTTATTATTTGATAAAAATAAAATAGATAACATTCTTTAATAAAATAGATTATTATGAATTAATTTAGCATGCGTCCCATTACCCCAATAACGGGGTAAAAAGACGCATTTGTTATAATTTCTAATTATTCAGAATTTTGGGCATTTGCTTTGGTAAAATTAAATTTTGACCTGAAAATTGAAATCTACGTAATATTTATGATAGGAAAACAATATAACAATATTTCTAAAACTTGTATGCTACCACCTACCAGCTGTTATACCCCAGGTTACTATATGTGTGTTCGTTATAAAAACAATTTATATGGCGTTGTAACGTACCAACCACTTCAACTCAATATTGATGGTATTTTGAATTAAATAACAAGTTGATTTTGTAATCATAGTTCAGTTGTATTTATTTATTACATAAAATAGACTAAGTCCAAATAATTAAATTATAAAATTGTGGTAAACGGGATGTGACTTAGTATCGACTTCGTGGCTGGAGCAGCCAACGGAGCGTTGGTGCTAGTCTGCTGGACACTTGTCCATCGACGTATTTCGTCGATATTCCTATTAGATCCCTCCTATGGCATTTTTAGTATAAAAATGGTACATAGCCGCGTACACCTGACGTCATTTCGGCGTCCTCTACGAAATAATGTTAATTGGGGATTATATGTTTTCAAAGTTATCTATTTTTTGTTGTTTACGGCTTTTTCGTCTTTCCTAGAGGCTAGAATATGGATAATGCGCGCGTATGCCTATCAGAGTTCGCGCTGTACCATTAACTAGTTCTGTGCTCTTATCGATGTAGCAGCTGCCCGGACGCTTATATTATTACTATTATCGGGTTACGTGCCCCCTGCAGCATTTATATCTGTTATTGAATATAATATATTATATTATAAGCGTATTATACTTAATATTATTACTATTATTAATATGTACGTAGTCACAGCCCGTTACAGCGTCTTTGCTCTCGACGTACACACACACACACGCACACACCCACCCACACACAAACGTTGAATGACGGTGGTGCCATAATAACATGCCCCCCCTTTTTTTTTTTTTTGAAGTGAATACGATTTGCAGTAACATTTTAGATTCTGAGTGAAACGATGAATATATTGATTTGTAATGATGTGTGTATTTTTTTTTTTGTGTCTGTCATAGCGTTTTAGGACAGTAAAAATGCTTTCTTCAACAGTATCTTTTTTGATAGAAAATTGAATCTAGTTGGTACTTTGGGGGGGGTCAAAAGTAAAAATTTCCTAGTAGCTTTCAAAGGCGCCGTGAAAAACAAAAGAAAAAATTAAGGAAAAACGGGAATTTTTACGCAAAATCGGTTTTCGAGAAAATCGATTTTGGTTTTTGGTGCAATTCCTAAACAAATGACCGTAGGTACATGAAATTTTGACTAAATGGTTATATTAGCATTTCCTATACACCATCCAATTTTGACCCTTTTTGAGCTGTTTACGGACATTTTCAGTTTCCAATTTTTTTAGTTTTTTATTCTATAAATATCAATAAAGTTTTATCTGTTGGGCCAAAAAGTGTAAAAATTTAATACAAGGCTCCTGATATATTGTTACAATATCAGTTGAAAAATATTAATAATACATAGGCACAATTTTTTTTTATAAGCATTTAAAAATCGAATTTTGACAAAATTTATAAAATTTAAAATTTGAATAATTATTTTGTAGTTAAAAATGTATAAAATGTTCAACTTTTATATCAAAGGATTGAAAATTTTAAACAAGCTTGCACGTAAGTAGTTAATTCTGATACCAAAAAATCTAAAAAATACATAAGCACAGTTTACTTTTATAGTCATTTTAAGTTCAACTTTGGACAAAATTACATAAAAAAAAACCTAGAATAACTATTTTAGTTATTTTGTTGTGATTGTGTAATATTATTCGTGGGTACTTGAAACTTCTAAAGTACACTATTATATATCTAAGGAGTATGGACTATGATAGTATCAGGGTTTGTTGTTAACGTATAACGCATTATAAGTACCTAATGGATATTGTGATATGATTAATTTGGAATTTATTATAGGTACTTTTTTTAGGTAATTTTTTTTAATACGATAATATGTCTTATACCTAGACTGAAATATCGTCTCCGCTCAGAATCGTTTTTCTTATACTGTAGTAAGCGAGTTACTACCTAACAAATAAAACAAATCCCACAGGTTGGTACATAATTAGTATACTAGGTATACTGTAATTTGGCATAAATCGGATATTAGAATCGGAAATAGGATTTCCTACTGTTTAGCATAAGAAGACAGGCTCACTGAATAATATAATTACTCAGGAAGCCATGTATACGACAATGTTCAAATATAAAAATATAAAATAGTAGAATGATTATTTTAATTACAACGCTGTACGCGACGATATTCAATATAAAAATATAAAAGAGTAGAATGATTATTTCAATTGAATCATAGATTAGCATTTTAGCAATATGCAGAATTATACTAGGAAATCATAAAATGCGTGGGCTGGAACGATGACCACACATCCGTGAGCCGAGATACAGTATCCATAGGCAAGGGGTACGGGAAACTTCATATAAAAGGGAGCCCGAATCGGCCTGTTTTCAGACGTGTACTACCATCCACTAGTGCAAGCACCTTCACGCCACTTTGTACAATATTATTTTGGACTTAGAAAATTATCGAGCGTTTAAATAAAATTCACAATAAACAACATCTGTCTTTTATTTATTCATCATCCACGACTTCAACATCAAATAAAGTGTCTGCGACCTGCATCTATAATAACTTGGTAGCCACTTATCTACTGTTAGTACTACGATAGTACGATAGTAGGTACCAAGCAACAAGCTTATTACAATACAATGATATTATATCATTGAACTCAAATTTAATACTATCCATTGTATAGTGACCTACTTGTAACCTGTTGTACAGTAGGGCACCTTTTTTAATTATAAATTTAATTAAATTAGGTATACATATTTATTTTGTTAATGCTTAATATAAAAAGAACTATTAAAAAAAATAGTTATACAATAAGTTAATATGCACATTAAATGTATGATAAGCCAATAAACATCTTTGATAACTTTTAATTAATTTTTTTTAGCTTTTCACGGTGATTCATTCCATGTTATAGGCAGTCCTGTAAAGAATACTTTTGAAAAGTACTTGAGTAAGTACTCAAATACATTTTTTTTTAAGTATTTAAGATACTACTCAAATACTTTAATTGTATAGTATTTCAAATACTACTCAAATACTTTGAAAAAGTATTTGGAATACTTTTCAAATACTACTCAAATACTTTGAAAAAGTATTTGGAATACTTTTCAAATACTTTTGGTTTTTAAAGTGGGTTTCTAATTATTGTAATATAGACACATAGGTAGTAAATTTATAATCATTTTTATTTATTATTTATTAAATAAATGTTTATTAGGTACATTTTTTTTTTTATTTTTACATGAAATTTACAATCGGTTCTTAACTAGAACAATAAGCAAATGTGCATAGGGTATTTGAGTATGATTTTTTTTCGAGGGAAGAAACCACCCATTGGTGATACTACCTGTTTTGTGTTCTTAATCCATTCTAAAATTTCTAAAATTATTTTGAATAAAAATAAAATGTTCGAAATAAAAAACCAAAGTATTCATTACCAAAAAGTATTTAATACAAAAAAAAGTATTTAAAATACCATTCAAAATACTTCATGCTGAAAGTATTTAAAAAGTTATTCAATACTTAAAAAAGTATTTGAATACTTTTACTCAAATACTTTTACTCAAATACTTTTACTCAAATACTTTACAGGACTGGTTATAGGCTTGCGTTAATTTGCTGATGAATCACTAGTCACACCACTTGGTCCAGCGACAGGAGATTCCTCACGGACAGCTTCATTATCTTTGCTGGGCGAAGAGGACACTGAAATTGTTTCCTGATCATGATCTTGATCAGGTATATTATCATTTTGAGTTTCATCAATATCTGAATAATAAAATAAACAATTAAGTCAATTTTTTTTAACAAAGTATACATTTAGATGTTATTACCATGAATTGATTTGATTTCAATGGTGTCTTCTTCATTTTCAGATGATAAAATTTCAACTGTTTTTTGTTCTAAATAATTGATTAATAATTTTAATTTCAAGATATATATATTTTTTTTGGGAATTAAATGTAAATTAATAATTCATTGTGATTCATTAGTAATTTAACAATTTATAAAGTTATTAAAAAAAACTTAAATATTTATAAAAGTAGTTTATCTACTTTAAGTCAAATGAAATAAAAATAAAATCCAAAAATTACCCAAATCAAGTGTGTCTGTTTCTGCAGTTTCAGTTGATTGAGAAACTCCAACTGTGTCCGAAGCATCGCTTGAGGGTCCTTTATAAAAAAACAACTTAGTATTTAGTTATTTAAATGGGATATGTTATTTGTATTTAAAAAACTTTTATATTCCAATAAAATAAAAATAATTCATCATCAACTTAGTTGGTAAATTATGGTACATACCGGCTCGAGGTTCAATTGGAGTTGAATCACTTTCATTCTGCCTTGATTCTGCATCTGAAGTTACATTATCAGTATTCTTAGTCTCTTCACAACTCTAAATATATATTATTTTAAAAACAAAAATTATTGATCAGAACAAAAATCAAGACTATGTCAAGAAATAACAAATTATTACAGCCGAAGAAACAGGTGTGTTTTGAAATTCTTGAAAATGAATAATTTCTGGCGAGTCTTCTTCAACAAAAGCAGTGGCTTCAGCATTTGATGAATGTTCTGGTGTATTTTCTCCTGTTACTAAAAAAATATGAAACTATATTTATTATTACTATTTATTTTACAGGCATTAACCCTAATATAGTACAAAATATTGATTACAGATACATAAATACAAAATGGTAGTTCTGTTAATAAATAAATTACAGAAATAAGCTCAACTAGGTAAATAGTAAATACTAAATCAAATGTAGCTATAGTGAGTACAGAGTTTCATAGAAACTACGACTCGACGCTAACGCACCTCGTGGAGTTGTTTCATAACGGTTTCTAAAACTATAGCGTAATAATGCGAGGTAAATTTAATTTGATAACGAATATTTAACACATTTTTTCGATCCTAGTTTGAAAACCCCGGGTTTGAGGCAAAACCGCCAAGAAGCGCATTACCGTCTAGTCGCAGTTGCTATAAAACGCACTAAAGAATAATAAATACTATATAGTGGTATGCATAACCCAGGGACATAATTAGATGTGCAGTAGGCTTCTTCAACAATATGAATATCGCAAATTTTTTTTGGAAGTTTAAATATCAATAATCATAATATTATATCTTATAATATTATATTAATAACCAAAGCAGTATATCATACAATATTGAATACATTGTAATCTAAATTAATTTTTAGTTTTTAATTAATGGCTGCCGGTAATTGGGTATTTGGGTTACCGAAATTAAGTGATTTTAACTTGTTTAATATATTTAAAAAAAAAATTTGTTTATTAGTCATAGAGATATTGAAAATTCAAAATATCAATACCTAAATTTTTATTTCAATATTGCGATTATTTAAAAAAATATTGTTGAAGAAAGCCTAGTCTGTAGGATGGTCGCAAATGTAATTAGTAAAAAGAACAGGTGTAATAAAAGGAATTTTAAACCTTGTTAAACAGGGAGGGACTTTAAAAATTTAATGTAGTTCGCAAAGAATATAATAATATACGCTGTAAATACTTAATAAAATTGAAAAAGTACTTTGTTCGGTTTCTTCATTTTGAAAATCATTGGTTTCATTCATATTATTGGTGTCAGCAGTACATCCTTGGCTTGTTAGGTCAACTTCATTATTTTCATCTGCTGCCTCACTTGTCACCTCCATATCTGTACTTGCTTCAACTCCCTACAAACATCAATTAAAATGCAAAATATAATTAATATTTCATTTTCAGCTATAATTTAAAACGCAAAAATCTATTGGTGTTGTATGTTAAATAAAATAGTAATCTTATTATAAACAAATCATGATATTAAATTGTATTAAATGTAAGACTATATTTTTTTTTTTTAGTATTCCATCCGTAGAGTGGTCTACAACAAATATTCTCTCCATGATTCTCTGTCTTTTGCTTTATCTTTGAGTTGTTTGTACGAATCAACTCTTGTTTATTTGATTATTTGACTTATATAACATGTTCTTGGCCTACCTCTTCCGCGTTTCCCTTCAACCATACCTTCCAATATGATATATAAATATTTTCACTTTTTTCACTTACATATTAATAAACATAATATAATATATTATATATTTAATTTAATCCATCTTTCGTTAGTCCGAGTGTCATTTTTATTCTTTCATTACTATAAGACTAGTTAATTATCAAAATGTTAGGAGTGCACATACTTTATTATTATCTTGTGGATTACTCTCTGGACCAATATATGAATTGCTAACTTCTGAATCTCTTTGAGAAGATGTTGGTGCTTCATAATATTCCATTTCTCTACGGTTTTCTTCTCTAGGCATAAAAGATTTAGATCTTTTCATCTAAAATATAAAATAAATTGTGTAGTGAGCAGTATGACAAATATACAACATAAAATACTCAATTAACATAAAACGTTTTACTATAAATTACTTATGTTGGGTTACATGAAAAATTGATTAATTTGATGGTTTAACAAAATTATATGGACCAATCATGAGCCACTAAATCATGTTTAAGGGACCATTGTTAAATTTTTAATAATTGTTCATGCAACCTAGCACTAAAATGTATAATTGTTATTCAGTGGAATGAATAATGATAATTCTTTATAAATAAAACATTTTGTTACTATTATTATTTTTGACTTGGAATGGATTTTAAAATAATAATGATTCCCTAAGAATAGCTATGGTACATTTAGCAAAGATTATCAATTGATAAATTGTAAGATTTTAATAATGTTGTTTTTTAGTCTAATCTAAAATCAGTCAGTATTTTGAAATATTAAACAAATGGATTCATTGATTAGCATAATACTACTTTTAATGTAACAGTAAAACAAATATTTACATATGAAGTCAGAAGGAGATCAGCTTTTCGTTTCCTTTGAGAAGTGTTAGAGTGTGTTGTAGTGTCTAGAGAGGAACAGCTAGGTCCACTAGTACAAGCTGTGACAACAGATGGTTCTGATTCTGTTGAAGGACCTGGAGCTGAAGAACTAGCAATATGACTGTTACTACTTTCCATTGTCTGACCATTTTCATTTTGCACACTGTATCTAAAATAAATTATTACATTAAATGAAATTCAAAATACCTTTTTTTTAATTGTTAAATATATTTCACCTGTCTATTTGACTTTGTGAAGGAGATACTGTTGACACAGATACAGTAGTTGGTTGTGACACAGTTGTTTGTACTTGTTCCCTGCCTTGCGGTACCACCAGAGCTATACTGATGGCGGGACTTGTTTGTGCAGCAGTAACGCTTGGAGCTGCTGCACTTCCTATCAGCTGTTGAAGTGGTAAGATTGATGGGGGAGTAGCAGCAGTAGTTTCGTTAGAATCAGAAACTGTTGGTGTTGATTCCGAACCCTAAAACATTTAAAATTATCAGATGTATAATATATACATACTTACACATATATATAAGTTATTGAATTGTATAAATAAACAATGTACTTCAACGTGTTGTACTAAAGTACTGCTTGTTAAATGATGGCTTTGTGCTGTGCTATTAGCTTCTGAAGAGTCTAAAGCATTACCTCCACTGCTACTGATATCAACAGACTGTGGTTGTTGTGGATGAACAGTAATAGTTGTACTACTACTAGTTCCACTCATTGAACTGAAATATTAAAATGGTTTTATAATATGTGTAAACTACAAGTATTACATAATATGTTTTGTTTTTAATTTCTAAATAAATATAACCAAACTAATATGGTAAAATATAAATTATTTTAATAATAAATATTAATAACAATTATTATATTAAAAGAGAACTTTAGTAACTATAATAAATTGCACCTTTGGTTTGACGTGGATGATGTTTGACTAGTAGGTAATACTACCACACTTCTAGGTTGCATTGTCATTGGCTTTATACTAGCCAATGGTGTTTCTGCAGCTGCAGATCGCCATGGGTTAACTGTAACAGACTGGTGTACCTAAAAATAATTTTAGCAAGTTTAATGCATTAGTATTGTTTAATTAAAACAAAATATATATTTTATAATATAATATTAAGCATACTTACCGTTTGTGGCTTATTAACTGCAGGTCCTAAGGGTTTAATGTTAGCTGTAGGAGGTTCAATTGCCAGTTTATCAGGGCCGGTACTAGTAGATGGTTTTACCTAGATAAAAAGGATTGCGTTAGGTAAGCATTCAACACTCAATACGTGAATTTAATTCAACATTTTAATCATTTTTTTAATGCCAAAACTATAAAATATAAAATTAATAAACATCCTGTTGTTAATTAAAACTTTAGCCACTAAACTCACATAGTGATATTAAAAATTAATCATAGAATACAATATCTATAACATACCTGTTGATTTGAAAATTGTCTCGTCAAAGCTGTAACTCTATGATTTAACATTTGTATATCATGAGACAAGCGATCTTTTTCTGCGGTGATCTGTTCTTTTGCTGAAGTAAGTTTGCGATTTTCCGCTTCTAAACGAGAGATTTGAACTTGAAATTCCTGCATTTGGCCACCTAAAAAGAACATAAAATTATTATTTAAATTTATTTTATTTAGAAATTTAAAAAAATACAAATCAACTTAGGCTAACCTCTAGTTACAAATATTATATTATAATTATAAATGTATAGTGTAATAAAGGCAGTGGTCGGGAGTAGCGCGCTAATTGTAGCGACGCTACAGTAGCACGCTACTTTAGCTGTAGCGATTAACATAGCGTCGCTACAGTTTATAGAATGTAGAGAAATACTATAGCGCGCTAGAAATTTATGGTTAGCGTAGCGAAAATGTTCATTATTTTATCGGTACTTCTAACCTATTTCATGATAATTAAAATATTATGATGTATATTTATTTATTTAATTAAGATGACAAGATGAGTGTATTTTTGATTTTTTCGGGTTTATTCCGGACCGGACTAAGATAAGACCGGATAGATAAGACTATAATCATAAGTGCATTATTACAATGTAATATTTTATATTATTGAAAACAGAACCATAAATAATAATTAAAATATTAGTATTTTATCATCACTATTTTTGTTTTCGGCATTCAGCGTTTTCTACTTTTCTGTGTTTCTTTTAAGTTTTAAATATTTTGAATAGTTGAATTAAAAATGACAGAACCTGAAGCCACCACGTCATATTCAACTAGTTGGCAATTTTCAATAAAACGTTTGTTTTGATTTTTGTTACAAAAATACATGAGTTACACTTAATAAACCTGCCTTCCGAAATTACAAGAAAATAGTGGTAGGCATTAACAAATAATGACCAAGTACTCAAGTGAATATCTAAATAAACAAAAAAAATTTTTAAAAAAATGTAGCGAGAAAGTAGCACGCTACATTTAAGCAATAGCGTTAGAAATAGCGCACTACATTTAAAAAAAGTAGCTTTAGCGATAGCGAGCTACTTTTTTTAGGGAGTAGTAGTAGCGTTAGCGTGCTACAAAAAAACAGTAGCGTCCCGACCACTGAATAAAGGCACCTACCAATTTCTGCTTGATCTAATCGGACGATTAAGCCATCACGTTGTTTTTTGGTTATATCAAGTTCTCTAGTAAGATTTTGAATCCTACTTCTAACATGTTGTAAAAGCTGTTTAGCACGCAATTCTTTATCTTCACTTTTAGCTTTTGTATCTTTTAACTCAGATCTTGCAGCATTTAAACTAGCTTCAGCTTCTAGAACCTATAAGTATATATATAAATCAATGTAGAATTACACAATCAGTTTAAATTTAATACTGGATAGCCAAATTTAAAAATATACATAAAAATAAGGTATCAACTGTTGCTGAAATTATACTAAATAAATCTTAACTTGCATTTTTATACACATATAAATATCATTTTTCATCTATAAAATATAACATATTGTCTGAATTTTAAATTATTATAAATTAAAATAATGAACTGGCTGACCTGGCAATGTTTCAATATTGCTAGATTTCAGTATACTGTATAGTAAACTCGTGAAGTTGTGCCACCCTATTTTGCTAATAATCCGAGAGTTTACAGTACATATTGTATACACTATACATAGATTAAATGAACACCATTGAAAGTTTAGTATCGTTTATTGAACTTAAGTTAAAATTAGATATTTACATATACCTACGTTATTATTTTATTTTACATTATTATTATTAACTGTACCCTGTACTCGTTTCGTTGTTGCTATACCAACCATTAGAAATTTAATTTAAAGGAAAGTTGTTAAAACAATGTTTAATTTGTTTTTAATCATTTTCTTCTAACAAATTTTTGTAAAATTGTGATGTATTGATGCTCTGGAGAAGAATGATAGGTATGCCAATTTTCAATGTTAAGACATGCGACGACATGCCTGGAAAACATAGTGAATTCAAATACTCAGTTGGATAATTGACAACTTTGTCTTGATTAATTACAGTATCAATGATTAACACACTGCTTTGCCTATTATTTTGTAACACTGACATTGATGACATTGACATTGTTGTTTTAGGATGCTATATATCATGTAAACTGATTTACTGATAATTTTTGCAATTCTGTGAAACAATTTGTTTATGGTCGATATGATTTTACATAATTTTATTTTCAATGTGTTACATTCTGTGGATTCAGTCATTGCTGTTTTGTCATTCCCAATATCCAACAAATTTTTTTTTAAAAATGTTCATGTTGTGCTTGTACACGTGTTTTACTCTTCAGTAATTTTCTGTAAGCGTCGCCATTAAACCAATTATTTTAGACATGCATTAAATTCATCAGCTGGTGTTGAACATAGTATAACTGGTATATGTTTGTCGAAAATCAACAGCAGTTAATTTTATCTCAAATATTTTAGCGTACGATCAAGTATTTCCAATGCTTTTTAGTACAATGACATAGTCAATTTGTAACTGTAGTCTAGACCTATTCTAGAGTTAATGTTGGTAATGCATGATGGTGGTATTTCAGTGGTTTGCATATTCAATGAAAATTTCAGAGTAGAATGAGCATACGGCGACAATTCAAAAAAAATGCTACCATTCCAGGTGATGCGATTGCCAGTGCCAATTAAAAAATATTCATTTTTATATTCTATAATATATACAAACAATTGGTCTAGTATTTAAATATGTATAAAATATTTTAATAAAATATCTATATTTTTTCTCATCACCCACTGCCAACTTTATGAGTTCAGTCAATAATCATACTCCCATAGAGGTTGATTTATCACTTCTATACTCGCACAATATAAAATCCTTCATCTTCATAAAAAACAACACACCTCCCCCTATCAATTCCTTAATATCTTCCTGAACATTTTTATAAAATTGTCCTTATTGTACTCTAACTAAAAATTTTGTAATTTTCTTTAAAGCCACTGCTCTTCACTCTTCCAGTCTTATTTGCTTCTACCAGGATTTTTAACACTAAATCACCTGCAAAACATAACGGCACGTTACCCTATATATCTTTTGTAATCTAGTCTATGACTAACCGTAACAGCTCAAAGCTAAACCCTGGTGCACACCTGTTCGGTTTCTTTCCTTTTGAGTATATCCTCTATTACTATAACATACAGCCTCAGTACTTCCTTTTTCCTTAACCTATTATTGTTGCACACGTCATATAATGTTTTGTGGGTCAGTCGTATAAAATGTTTTTTAACTCATCTGATACTATGAATAACTTCAAATGACATGTTAATAAATATTTATAAAAAAAAAATTATAGCGTTATTTGTTGTTCCTAAAAGAGTCGAGAGTACTGATGTAAGGAACACACTACAAGTACATGCGTATCCTACAGTAATGATAAAAATATAACTTAAAAAAGTGAATAAATTTATTTTTGTCTGACAAACTTTTAATAGAACATAATATATACTATAATTTTTATTAATGGGTAAAAAGAGCAATATCAATAATAATAAAAAAAGTAACATGTAAGCGTTTCTGCAATCGTATTACAAAACAAATGTATACAAACGACAGGTTAACATCCACACCAACCCCTCTCAAGAAACTTTTACATGTTTTATAAATCTTTAGATATCATACAAATTATATTTATTATTTTTTTTCTGTACCTTAGAACTGTCTCATACAAAATATCGGTAAAATTGTAAACCATCCTGGCACATACATAAACATTTTCAGGATAATAATCTCTATAAAATGTATAGCATGTTAAACCTTTTCAGAAAGAGTAATTAATATAATTAATATTTACCTAATTTTATTTCTATTTAAAAAAATTATAATGTATATTAAATAATTTATTATTTAAAACTATGTTATTTTGTAGATCATACTGAAGCAAAATAATAAATACTTACTTTAGCTTTATGATAATTTATGATGGATTCACATTCAGCTTTTTGTTCTTGTTTCCCTTGTTCTATTAGTTTTTTGGGCTCATCAAGATCTAAAGTTATTTTACTTCCTCCTTGCTGTAGTTCATCAAATTTAGTCTGCCATGCGCTTCTTTCTGTACTTAATGTATTATTCAACTCTTCACTTAGGTGTTTATATCGTCTAGCCAATACCTTTACCTAAAAGTTGGATGCAAATGTTTGAATACAGTAACCAGAATTAAAGTAAATATAACTTTAAAACACTAACTATATGAATTTCTGATGCAACATCTGATGACTTTTGTCTGTAGGATTTGATAATATTCTTAAACGTCTCCATAGACTTATTAGTAGAAACAATTTTAGTTTTTAATTTAATTATTTCTTGTTTTGCAGTATTGATTTCTTCCGAATGATCAGTTTCCAGCTTCTTTAACTAATTATGCAGGATAAAATATTTGCATTATGATGAGGTTAGTAATTATTTTTCAGTTCAATATAACTTATTAATGATATAGCATATTACCAATTCTTCAAGACATGATTTATCTGATTTCATAGATTTTAATTGATCAAGAGCAGTAGTCATTTTTCCTTTTTCTCGTTCTAGTGTATTTAACAGTTGTTTAAACTCTGTATCAGATTGAGTACCATTAGATCGTTCTTTCCATCTTGACAAGTTTTTAGTTACAGTTATAACCTAATTAAAAGAAAAAAACTGTATTAAATTCATTTAAAGAAAAATATGTTCATTTACATTTTTATTCAGGTAAAAAGATTGTTTTAAACCTAAAGAATCTGAGAAAATAGTTGGGTTCAGTGGCGAGGCCAACTGAAAATTTTCCAGGGGCAAGTTACAAATATCCTAAGTATTAATGCATAATCATATATTAATATAATACAACCCATTTTTTAGATAATAATTGACAACCTATAGAGTATATCAAATTACATTTACTAGTGAACCCAACCTTCTATTTAAGAAAAATCTCAAAGGCAATTTCCATGCCACTGGTTGGGCTAGACTGCTAGAGAAAAGTGAGCACTGGCTAATTGTCAGTAATTGAGTATTATCGGTGACAGGGTTCTCACATTCTCAATATTGTACTATTTAATCCAACATAGTGCATGAGAAAAAATAATAATACATAATTAATTAATAATTTGAAAAAGTGCGCCAATTGATTTTGATAATCATTACTTAATTATAGTCGTTAGGAACTAAGTCCATCTTTTCGTGAGCATAGTTAAATAATAAATATTATAGTTCCATGAAAACCGTGCTCGAGATCAATGTCATGTTTATTTTCATGTATGTTAGTACTTTTTTAAAAAATATCTACTCCAAGTCTATCTACACTAAGTATTAAAAAATATTCACTTCTCAGTTCTCACATAAAAATAATACCAAAATTAATACCTCTGCACATTTTTGATCAATTTCACATTGCATTCCTGATATATCATCTTTTAAAGCACAAATCTCAGCAGTTTTTTTTGTATCTAATTCTTGTAACTCTTTAAGTTGGCTGGATAATAGTACATTTTCTTCTTCTAACATTTTACTTCTTTCTACTATTTGATTGCTAAGTTCAATCTAAACATGTAAAAAGTTGAAAATAAAAATTAAACCTATTAATATGTTTTAATGAATATACAATTTTTTTTAATCAGCTTATTTAATTTAAAAAGAATGCAAATAGATTATTAATTATACTTAATACATACCTTTTCTAAAATTTTTGAATGATCATTATTCATAACTAAGCCGGATGTATGTAGCTGTCTTAATTCTTTCATTTGAGTTTGCATGTCATCAACAACTTTGGATTTGTAATGTAAATCAGATTTCAATCTAAATTTATTAATAAAATATAAGAATCTATAATTAAGTAATAATATTAATAATATAAAAACCATTACTTATTGCATTCAGCAATAGTTTCATTAAATTCTAAAATGATTGAATTTTTTTCGTCTTTCAAGATGTTAATCAAATTTGCCATTTTCATGAACTGTTTATCAATACTATTTGTGCATAAAGAAGTGTTATTTAAACTATCATCTTTGTCTGATATTTTACTGTTATTCTATAAGTAAAATAAAAACATTTAGTTTAATTTACAGTATAGTTGGTTTATTTTATTACCAATCGTTCCTGGTTCAAAAGCTCAAAAGTTATTGTCTTAAATTGTTCTGATAATAGTTCATTTTCAAATTGCCAGCGTTTTATTGTTTCTTTGAGACAATTTATTTCATCATCTAATTTGTTTAATTGTATTTTATGCATCTCTTTTATTTCTTCAGTATACTTTTCTAAAGCAGCCTTTTGATTTTTCAAATGATCTATTTCTGCAGATTTTGTTGTATTAAGTAATTCTAATGAATCTAATCCCTGAAAATCAACAAAAACATATTGGTTATAACTTATAATCTAATATTTTATTGTTATGCAGTTTCACTAACTTCTAATTTATATTTATAATGCTCTAATTTATGATTAAGGCTTTTCTCCAATCTGTCTTTATCATTAACAGACTTTTTCAATTCTTCTTCAAGTGTTAATATGGTATTATTTTGTTTTGAAATGTTTTTTAAGAGTTCATCACTATAGTCTTTTGCTGCTTCCAATTCTTCTAACATTTTACTATATTTTTGATCATACTCCAACAATTGTTTTTGTAATTTATTGATGTTATCGTTTTGAGATAAGTTAAACTCGCTCAATTCTTGCATACTGTAACAAAATGTTAAATAATACATACTGTAAAAAGAAATCTTATTACTTATGTAGTTTAAATAGTTTATTTATGCCATAGAAATTATTGCTAAAAATTTTTAATATTAATATGAATAGCTTATGGGAGGAGTGCATTTGTACAGTTAATGTAAATTTTAAACACTCATGAAAAATACTCCACTATGTGATTAGTAAACACTGATTACATTTTGATTTGTTTTTGTTTTAAGCATAGCTAATAACTTTTATCCAATACTTTTTAATATTATATTTATTTCAAATATAATGAAAGGAAACAAACATATAGTTTTCATGTAGAGAATTTGTGGATTACAATATAATAAATGGTTTTTTGATATGTGACCTATATGAATAATGACAGGACAGATTTTATTTCACTTAATTTAATAGGATAGTATAGTAATGAGTTCAATTGAATTAATTTTTTCAAAATAGCTAAACATGTAGATCACACATTCACACATATCTATAGTAAACAATAACTATAATTGGATGATTTTTATTTATTAAAATATAATAAATTATCAGAAAATATGTGTGTATGATCAAACAACTTACACATGATTTAACTGCTGATCTTTTTCTAAGTACTCTTTTTTTTTCATTTCACGTTCATTTTCTAATTGTGAAGAATATTCACTCATTTTTTTTAAATTTTCCTCTAAAGATTTGTAAAGTTGTTTGGTCACATTTAATTCTGATTTTAACTGATTTTTCAATTGGTCTATAATAAAAGCAGAAACAATCTATAGGTATATAATATAATTTAAAGATAGATCAATAGAGAATTGTACAATGACAAGCTTTGTTAAGGGACAAACGTTACATGGTTAAGACACATAATGAGGACAGGAAAAAATTAAGATAAGCAGTGGAATGGAAAACCACCTAAAAATTAAAAATATGGATTAATGTAGTGGAAGATGATTTAAGGAGTCAGGAACTAAAGAAAGTTTAAGATGAAATAAAATATTATAGAATTTATGATACATTTTATAAAATAAATAAATAATAATTACCACTTTCATTAAGTTTTGATTTGAGATTTTTTACTTCGTGCTCAAGCTTATTAACAACACTCTGGAAGTTAGAACGCTCATCTGTACACAAACTGAATGAATTGGTTCTGGATCGAGACATTTCTTTGAATGTACTCAAATCATCTATAGCTTCCAATTTTAGAAGTAAAGTATCTCTAACATCTTTTAATGTTTTTGTCAATTTTTTATATTCTTCTTTGAACTTAACTTTATCATAATCAGTTTCAGCAATATATTCTAATGTAAAATTCCAATTTATAATTAGTGAATCTAATTGGGAAGTCAAAGTTTTCTCGAATTCTTTTTGTAACTCTGTTTTTTGTCTCAATTCACGAGAATAATTCATGTTTGAAATATACATACTATCATTATCTTTTTTTAAAATGTTACATTGATTTTTTATTTTGTCTAATTCAATTTTTAACTCTTGATTTTCCTAGTATTTAAAAAAAAATTGTTGATAAACAAAACTATGTATAGAAATGAATATCTTCAGAAATTAAAAGTAACTTACTGTTTCCAAAGATAATATTTTACCATGCAAGTTGTCTATGTTTTCTTCATTTTCAGAATGCTTAATATTAGAGGTTTTTATTTTTTTTTGTAACTCATTTATTTGAAGATTTAATTCTTGAACATGTTGGTCCAACCGCAAACGAGCAACACTATTAGATTCAAGTTTCTCTTTAAGTTGTTTAATCGTACAATTGGCAGCATTTAGTTCACGAACTACAGAATAATATTCTAAATTTTCTTCCATCCTACCATCTATACTACCATCATTTTCTAATGTTGTTTTTTTCTAAAAAAAATATATTTTATTAATTTGAAGAAAATATAAGTGTTGTTTTTAAAAATTGTATTTACTTACAGGACTTAGAACTTTAATTTGTGCATCATCATTTAACTGTGTAGTTGATTTAGACGTTAATTCCAAAGATTGTAATTGAGATATTTTTTCCTAACAACATAATATAATACACATTAAAATGATTTATTTAATTTGAGTTATATAATTAAAATTGTATTACACAGTAATTTATTGCATTTTGTATATTTGTTTTAATTCATTTTATAAAATATTTTACTACTTACCGTTTGCTGGTTAATCAATTGAGCCTTTGATTCTAATTTATCTTCCAAGATTTTAATTTTATCCTAAAACATATATGTTATAATTTATAAATAATATAATGGAAAAGAGAACACAACACAAATAATAATTTGTAGGCAGAACTGTTAAAAACAAATTGATCAAATACATCTCAGTCATAAAAATAATTTAAATTAATATATTTCAAAATAAGTACCAACCTTTAAATCTTTTATTAATTGTATATCTTGTTCATCATTTGCTTTAGATAAAGAACGAACAATTTCTAGTAATTTTTTGTTTTGTTTTTGTAAGCCTTGTATGTTTTCAAATGTAACATAATTATTTGAAATAATCTAAAAAAGTTGTTATATTATAAAACTTTATCTTAATAATTATAGTTAACTAATACATACTGATTGGGGACTCATATCTTTTCCAACATTACGATTTTCATAACGTGTATTGCACTGGTTATTTCGCAATAAGAAACATACCTAAAAACATTAAATACAAAATAAAAATGAAAATATTATAATAATAAACCTCATTTTTAAATCTTACTTGTTTGCTCAAATCGTCTTCTGTACTTTGAAGTTTTTTATAATCTTCTGATAACTGATCACATTTAGTATTAGACAGTTCTAATTTATTATTAACATCCTTCAACTTCAACTCCAATCTTGAAATAGTTTCACATAATTGTTTAACTTTTTCATTTGATTCAATTAAATCTTTCTCCATTTCATCAACTTCGGGCGCAGCATTCCTAATTTGCTACAACAAATATTATAATATTTAAAAACTGGCAGTACTATTTTGAAATTTATTAAAAAGAATATTTAAATTGTTTAGTAGATGAATTAAATTTATAATTATTTAGTTAAATACTTAAATATTAATATACAATAAAATAAAAATATAAAATAAAATAATAGTATAAATTTGAACGAGTATGAAAAATAAATATTTTTTTATATTCATTTCTTACTTCTTCTAAAATATTAAAATTTCTTTTGCAATGTTCAAGTTCTAGTGTTGTTTTTTGCAAACTTAAACATGTCTCCTTATAAATAGCATAAACGTCAGTAATTGTTGTTCCTTTACGTAGAAGATAATTTGGATTATCTGAAGTAACTAAAACATAATTATTTTTCTATATTATTAACAATAACATTCAAATTGAATATATACAATGTAAAATTTAAAAAAGAAGTGAAATTGGGTATCGCTTTATTGTACATTGAGTTTTTGTGGGTCACTATAATGTGTTATATTTTAATTAATGATATAAAATCATTGTATACGAAAATTAATTTTAGCGAAGATAGTCAGGCAGTATACAATAGTTTCTAAGACTGTTTAGTGTTTACTATTTGGTTTATTACTTTTGTCTGGAAGCATGTAATTATGCATTTTTTAGTGACTGTAAGTTTAATAATATCCAAGAAAACAAATTTTTTTAGGAAATTTTATTATGATAAATAAAAATAAATTACCAGGAAGTAATTGTTTAACTATTTCCTCTGAAGCATTTAACTTGCTTCTTAATACACATATTGTGTTATCCGAGTCAATTTTGTATTGCTGATAATCATTTGAAAGTGTTGCATATTTTTTTTCAATATCATTTGTATTTGATGTCAGTCTGCTTACATAGTCTCTATTCTCCATTATATCCATTGTTAATTGTTTAGTTTGCTCAAGTTCATTTTCATAACATACTAAAAAAAAACAAGAAATTAGGTACAAATACTTGGCATTCATTTTTAAAATATTACCCTTGTAATGATTCATTAAATTTTGATTATTAGCTAACTCTTTATTAGTGTTTTCTGTTTCATTTGCATGTACAAGGTTTAAATCATCTATTTCACGTTTCATTATATTTATAATGTCTTCTTGATTTTTAGATTTTATTTGTAATAAATTGACATCATTTTTTAACGCCAAAACCTTAAACATATAAATTAAGAATTCCTCATAAACTAATATAAAAAATATTTTTACAAAGACTATTATAATTTTAAAAATGAATTCTAATTATCAACTATTTTGTATCATTAATTTAAAATTACATATTACAATTCTAAAAACCTGTTGATTTTACCTCTGCATTTTTTTCATCTAAATTCGGTTTTAATTCATTTATTTCTTTATGATACTTTGTATGAAGATTTGAGAATTTATTTGTGCACTTTAATAAACTTTCAGTTAAGGTATAAATTTTTAGCTGTAATATACCATCATCCACTTTAGTCATTCTTTCTCTAGAACAAAATATTAGAAATCAATATAGATACATCAATATAGATATATATAAGCTAATATTCAAAGCATTTTTATCACGTTACCTAACTTCAGCCTCATGTAAATTCTTTAATAGTGAATCGTTGTGTAACATCAAATCATGTTTTTGTTTCAACGTGTTTTTAAACTGTTCATTGACTGCCTCGATTTCTTTTTGAAATTCAAAAACCTTAGCTTCTCGAATGCTAGTACTGTTGTTGAGCATATCGAAATCGATTTCCGGTTGATTGCTGGATTCTAGTGCACACATCAGACGTTAACACAAAACTATCTTTTCTATTAGACTAGAATGAATAAACCGAAAATACTAACCAGATGAAGTATTTGTCCCGATTTCATTGCGGCTTGTGGTAGGGTTGCGTATATACTGCTCGAACTTGCTTTTGGTGTCATCAGACAGTGCGTTGTAGCCATCGTCCGCCAAAATGGAGTTGACTAG